TCTATATAGATCTATCTAGATATATCTATAGATCTAGATAGATCTATAGATATATAGATCTATCTAGATCTATAGATATATCTAGATAGATCTAGATATCTAGATCTAGATATCTAGATCTATCTAGATAGATAGATAGATAGATAGATAGATAGATATAAATTTGTGGTAGACTTGTAAAGAAAATAGAAAAAAATAAACTGGTATGTTTTTGCAAACAACTATATATTTAATTTCAGCTGGTGCTTTATTGCTCGACAGGAGACCGAGAGGAAGATGAACTGGGGCTTTTTGGAGAACATCCTCAGCGGGGTGAACAAGTACTCCACTGTGATCGGGCGCATCTGGCTCTCCGTGGTCTTCATCTTCAGGATCCTGGTGTACGTGGCGGCGGCTGAGCAGGTGTGGAAGGACGAGCAGAAGGACTTCGTGTGCAACACCCGGCAGCCCGGCTGCGAGAACGCCTGCTTCGACCACTTCTTCCCCATCTCGCAGGTGCGCCTCTGGGCCCTGCAGCTCATCATGGTGTCCACCCCGTCCCTGCTGGTGGCCCTGCACGTGGGCTACAGGGAGCACCGGGAGGCCAAGCACAAGTGCAAGCTGTACAAGGACAAAGGGAGCATCGACGGAGGTCTGTTCTGCACCTACATCGTCAGCCTGGTCTGCAAGATAACCTTCGAGGCCGGCTCCCTGTTCGCTTTCTACTACCTGTACGGCGGCTTCCAGGTGCCCATGCTGCTCCGCTGCAGCCAGAGTCCCTGTCCCAACACGGAGGACTGCTTCATCGCCAGAGCCACGGAGAAGAAGATCTTCCTCTACATCATGGGCTGCACCTCCATGCTGTGCATCGCCCTGAACTTCGCCGAGCTCCTGTACATCGTGTGGAAGCACTTGTGGAAATATTTCACGCGGCGGTACGTCCCCGTGAGGGAGAAGGCGGTCAGCCGATGCCGGTCACCTGTTTCCATTGTCAACGAGTTTGTGTCAGCTGAGCCCACAGTGAACACGGAGGACGGCACCACGCAGCCGGCTGAAAACCAGCCTGTCCAGTCCTAGAGGCGCTGGGAAGGACTGGGAGCTCATGTTCCCACCTCAAAGGGAAACCACAGAGGAACTGGCACGGACACTGCTGACACCTGATAATAATGTGCGATGATAAACAAACAAAACAAGAGGTAAACAGATGTGAGGTGCAGTTTGGCCTTAAGAGAAAAGCTTTGAGCAGACTAATTATGGATATTAATTAACAGACAAAAAAACATTACACATTCGTATTCCTCATTTAAACATTTTGAAATCGTCTTCTGTGATTTGGAGATTACAAAAACATTGTTTAGCGTGTTTACCGGGCAGGGAAGGTCAAATCAAAGTTGCATTGTGGGAAATGTAGGATCCAGTGTTTTTGGAGTTTGGACCTTACCGAGGACTTTAATCATTCCCAACACGCTTGTGCTTTCCTGCTCAATGTCTGCTGTGGAAAGAGCTCCATTTAACACATCTAAATGATTTATTTGGGGTCATAATGCAGCTGCAGAGCTGAACTGGAGGTTCCGCCGGTTATAAATGAAGTCAGTTATTTGGAGTCATTTGCTAAAACTCCTTGTAAAGTAAAAGTAGTCTTTGATGTCTTGAGAGCAATTTGGACCAAACAAATTAAATATATCTCCAACTATCGTACATGAGTTCAGAGGCCCAACATGTTAAATATAAAACAAACAGGACATACAGGAAATTATAATAAAAACAATAATCCTGCTACTTTGTGAGTGGGGATTGTCTTTTTTTTGTCAACCAAGACAAAAAGAGCTGCTGCTTTGACTGAATGAGAGCCGACAGCCAATCACATAACTAGCACTGCATGTCTGAAAAGTATTTATCATATATTGTACCTGGATTATTCATGTGATGACGTACTCGGCCGTCTCCTGAAGTTCAGTTTAGTTCAGTTCGTCCAAACACATTCAAAACAATAAAAGTGAACAAACTGTTTTCAGCCGCTGAGATGAAACAAAGACAATAGTGTTACACAGGTTGTGTGTATTCTGAAAGTCAGTTTGAAAATATTTCTCTGTTCTTTATTTCAATTTGTATCATTTGTCAATACTTACTGGATTCCTCGAGAGGATGAAGAGACTTCAACTTATTTTGTCTAAAGCAATGTTTAGCACAGGCTGGTACGTGTACGATGAATATTTAAATAAGCATCAAAATGAACAGGTTAGTTATTTGTTGCTCTTTGTGTAGCTGCACTTTGTTTAGAATGAATGTAACATCAGATCATGCTGTTCAATGACAATTCTACTGCTTGTGATTATGTGAAGTGCAATAATAAATTAATATATATACACACCACTAAATATGCTCTCTCTCAACTACACAATAAACACAATGCTTTTATTGGCAGTTAACCCGAAGACGGTTGCTCCTCTGCATTACATTATGAACAGGCTGCTGCTCAAAGTTCACCAGTACTACACGGTAAGCCTTCGTTTAAAAGGAAAGTTCAACATTTTGGGAAATACAGCACGTCTGAGTTTATGCGGAGCACAGAAAATTGTCCTTCAATCTGCTGATGAGGATTTAATTAAAAGAAACATTTTCTAGTTCAGAACTCATGTAACTCTGCAGCGTAGAGCCCATTAGTCTTTAACAATTAAAGATCTTCCACAATAAAAAGCTATTCCTAAACTGCGGTGCATGTAACAAAATGTAGAAAATGATGAAAAACAAGTCAAACTGGTTGTAAAAAACGGTTGATTTAATAATAAGACTGCTGGTGGCAGCAGGTGAGACTATATAACCAACACACAATAATCAACATCTGAGAATCACGAGCTACACACAACAATACAATCCGTTTCAAAGTCCATCTCTACGTCCCACAGGGATGATTAAGACAGCAAAGAGTCCTTTTCACATCGGCAATGTTCAGGGGACTTTTTGACCGTCCATAAATAAAAACATGCTATATACTTTTTCATAAAAAAAGACAAAAATTGTACAGATATTACAGTATAATCCTTTTAATAGCCGGATGTGTAAAAACTCTTTCACATGTAGGGCACCAGTCTGTAGCAGCTTCTACTCATTCTAGTCCTGAGGTTCTGCTTTACAAAAACTAAAATGCGGGAGTCACTTGTGTGTTTTTTTTTTTTTTTTACAATACCACTGTGGGTCGCGTGTCCTGCAGCTGTTTCAACATAAGGTCGGTGACGCCCGAAAAGGCCCCGTCTATTATTATTTTGACCTTGCTGAGTGATTTCTTGTTCTGCCGGTTGCTGAACCGGACACACGTGTCTCTGGAGTTCACACCGGACGTCTTTCTCCACGTTTCCGGGACGCCAACCGTCACCGTCAACGGATGTTCACATTTGTTTGACTGCTCCAGGAATTTTAGGAAAGACATTTCGAATCCCATGGGTTTGAAAGAGGCCAGCGGAGCGCTGTCCTCCTGCATTATTGCAGGACAAGAGGAGTCGGACTCGTCGTCCCGGCTGTAAGCTACTTCCACCTTGGTCGTGCGTGGGATTTTCTTGCGTTTCACAGATTTTCCTACCAGTTTTCGCGGTCGTCCCCGCTTGCGTTTGACCACCACGGAGCCATCCGAACTTTCATCGTTGGTTAATTTGCTTTCGAACACTGTGGCGGGGGACCCTGCCAAGGTCCTCTTGCGTAGGACGGGCTTCTTATACCCATAAGCCCCTCCTTCCAGGCCGGTGGCGTCTGATGTGAACTCGCCGTCTGACTGGTCAGACGTGTTTTCCGATTTGGAATCGTCGCTTCTGATGGAGCGGCACTTCTGCCTGGGGAACTTTTTGCAGAATATGAAGTGACTCCTTTGCTGTTCCAGGTACTTTTCTGACAGTCCGTGCTCCACGTAATGTTTTAATATGCTCCGCTCCGATCTCATGACTGAATCGCAGCCTTTAATCATACATGGATATTGTTGAGGAACTTTCTTGGTGCACATTGAAGAGGCCTCTACTTTAGATTTCAGGGAGGGTTTTCCATATTTAGTCCAGTGGTTGCTTTTCCCCTTGTTCACTCGCTTTGCGTCACTTGCCTTCTGGAGGATCTTTTTATTGCTCTCTATGTTTTCCTTCCCATTACTCGTCTTGGTAATTTGGTAATGCAAAGGCTTAGCATTGGGTTTAATCCCGTCTTCGTTTATCTGTTGATTATTCAGTTTGGTCTGGTACAGGTCCTCATGCTTCTTCATGAAATGTCTGAGCATGTTCGACTTTGTGGCGTACGTACGGTCACACCCTTCGATTTCACACTTGAACGAGTTATTGAACGGATCCGCTTTGGCCAGCTTCATATCTTTATGCTGCTCTTTGACGTGTGCTATATACTTCCAGAAGGCGGTGAAGGAGGCCGTACAACCCTGCTGGCTGCAAGCAAACCTGCCGAGCTTGATGCTGGACAAGAGGCTGCCGACCTTATCCAGGCTGAAACCGTGCAGCTGTAAGTAATGCTGCAAAACGTGGGGAACTTCCTGGAAAACTCGGGAGCAGTCTTTGACTTGGCATCTGAACTCTGAAATTTGGGGGAGGTCCACATCTGGCTCCTCCTCACTGTGGTCCATCGTGTCGTCCTGGTCGTCGCTCTGGTCCTGCTCTTTGTTCACCTCCAGCGCCGACAGAGCAGACTGGTGAACAGCCCTGTAGTGGAGGATCAGATTGTGCTGGATGGTGAAGGCTGCCACGCAACCTTGATGAACGCAGCGATAGGGTCTGTACGGACTCATGGCGCCCCTCGAGTGGGCCTTCTTCTCTTTCGTCTTCTTGGTAATGTCTATGCTTGGCTTAACTACTGCCTGCCCGTTGACGGCAGATTGTTTTCCGGGAGTCGGAGGCCCGTCGGCTTGAGCCGCGGCAGACAGAGCCTGGGTGAGAAGAGCTGACATTTCGGGCAAATGGGCATGAAGTTGTTTACCACCTGCACGCTGAAGATGAGACCACTGCCGTGCTGACTGACCGGTTGATGTGGAGCTGTGGGCCTGCACTGGTGGAGTCATCGCTTGGTTGTGCATGGGGGCGGTTTGCAAGGGCTGAATGACCGTGGAGCGATTGTCATCTTGAAATTTCTGATTGGTTACGTCCATGTTAGTGAGCGATACGAACGCCTGCGATGCGTACTCGCGTTTGATCCCGTCTTGGAGTGAAGTGGGCGTCGGGGTGTGCGCTGCTGCAGATATAGATTTTTGAAGAGCAGCAGTTGCAGCAGCTTTGGCCTCTCTGCGCTTCAAATCCAGGTCTGCGATTTCTTTAGCCGATAACCTGTGAATGGACTGGTAGTGAGCGCGCAGGTTTGAGTTACGAGTGAATCTTTTGCTACATTTTTCACACTTGAAAGGAGCGTATTGGCCGTACTTTTTCTTGACCACATTCACCATCTCAATCGTGTAGTTGTGAGCTTTGGCGAGGTGTTTCCAAAGTGCTTCACTCGATATGGAACTAAACGGGCAGTTCTCACAAGCAAACGGCATGAGAAAGGGCTTTGGGAATACGGTTTGGCTTTGCGTAGGGATGTCACTTTGTTTCACAGGAGGGGACGCTTGTTCAGATATGTCTCTGACTAAATCGAGCCTTTCAAATGCACTTTGAATTTCTGTCATCCACTGTTGCTGGCCGGCAGATAACTGACCGGGCTCAAGATCTGCACCATTTGCCGGGACCCGTGTGGGGCTCAGGACCTCCTGCTTCGGGGTGGAGGTCTCTCTGAAACAGGTAAAGCTCCGTGTGTTCAGTAGTCCACAGTGGAGACCGCTTTCAGGAGCAGCGGCGGAAGCCTCTTCTTTGAGAATGTGAGAGAGAAGTGGGTCAGGAAACTCACTTCCATCAAACGCATCGACGTCGGGCTGATAATGGGCCGTACCGAACAAATCGTCCTCTTGCTTCACCTGGATGTTTTCTGTATGCTGTATGACGGAGCTCCCTGGCAAGCGTTCACCACCTAAATAGGGAACACAAGGGTTTTGGAACAATGGCAGGGGAGCAGGTGTGTTAACAAAAAGATCGGACAAGTTGGATTCAGCCATGATCTGCTTAAGAATGTCATCACTTGACTCACCATTGCCATATACTGGCAAATTATCTTGTGAATAGTTAGGGGCGAGGTAATCTTTTGCTGAACCATTTGTTACCGACTGATGGGGCTTCTCCTGATAAACGGCAGGAGGACTGTAAGACGACGGTGGCTGAGCGGCGTTAACCGTTTGCTCCGAGTTGAGAAGGTCGAGAAAGGAAGCTGGCAGGTCCGTGTTGAGCTCCGACTCATCGTAGGGTTTACAGCTCACACGCTTGGACAAATGGCCTCCGAGGGATTTGGGACTGTCAAATTGTCTATAACACCTGCAACAAACAAATTTGCCATCCCTAAGAATAGCTGGCCATTTGGTCCTTCTGTTTTTTCTGACTGGCTTTTGAATTTCAGGGTTGTTTTCAGAGACGGCCGGGCCCTTTAGAGGTTGGTTGTTAATGTGCTTTTGGCTCGCACTGACTGGAGAGGGAAAATGAGAGTGCATATTACTTTGCATTGATTTTGTTTTTTCTGGTGCCCTGGAACCGGAGACTAAACAGCTTTGCATCTGTGACGTATATGGCGGAATGAGGTCTTCTGCTTGTTGAGACGCTTCCTTAGCACCGTCCATGTACGAGGGCACAGCTGGCTGGGATGCATTCTGTGGTGACTGCAAGGAATCGACTCGCATGCTAGATGGGTAGACTTGGGAAGAGCTACAGTTTTGCATTTGTTCAGTTCCACGAGCCGAGAGCCAATTTTGACAACCTGAAACTTGTGACTGCGTAGTTATTGGAGTCGTGTGCCTTCCCAGCTGAGAGAGGCCGACGGGATTTGAAACGTTTTCCATCCGGACTGAAGCATTCTGGTTGTGGGCAGATAAGGAATGGGAATGTAGAGCAGAACAGTTTAACCGTACACCCATATTAATATAAGGAGGCGATTGGATGACGTTCTGCCTCTGGACTCCATGAACTGGTACACCGCTGGCTGGCTGGTTCTGAACCGAGGCGGCCGGACCGAGATGTCCAACGGATGATGTGCTCGGTGCCGGAGCGTAGCTTATCTCGATTTTAGTCCGAGCAACTCTCCATTGTTCATAGAACTCTGAGTGGATGGTTTTCATGTGCTTGACCACGCTTCTGAAGGAGCTGTAGTGCCTCGTGCACGTTTCAAACGGGCAGTGGAATCGCTCCCTGTGTCCCGGCGGGGGACCCGAGTTCGTCACAGAGTTCTCCGATCTGTTCCCAGTTAGAGGCTGAGGGGTTAATGTTGGAGGGAGGGGTTGGGACATTGCTGGCTCTAAGGAGTTCTGGGACAACGGAAATGTCAACAGGTTGCTGCTACACATGGGCCCTTGTGGCCCCAGCAATGTTGAGTTGCAGTCGGAGTTGTATCCAGTATTACTGGGGAACATTTGTGGCAAGACACCGGTATTACAGCCATGTGACACGTTACCTAAATTAGCTTCAAATGGAGGTACTGGTTGATTCTGTTGGGGCGGTCTCATGTTATCAAAAGAATGAGCACCTGAACCACATCTGGGTCCATTTGGATCGGAGAAGTGGGAATGCGCAGGCTGAATAACAGAATGATTTAAAGTCTGTGTCCGACTGGTGATTGAGCAAGGCGTGTTTTCCGTTTCTTGCTTGACTCCGTATTGTCCGAAGGTTTCCACGGGTGGTTGTGAGGATTTCAGTAAGCTCTCAATGGACACCGCCAGCCTTCCATTACTTGAATTTCCGTCACTCTCTGGTTTCCAGGTTTCTTGTGAACCCTCTTGTTTAATGGGCGCGTGATTGCAAAGCATTTGTTCAATGAGTGACGGGCCGGGCTGCATATTTTGAGAGACGAGTTCAGACGACGGGCTTTCCTCCTCCTCCTGCGTGGCGGCGTGCCCTTCCTGGTGCAAATCCAGCTGCTCCTGCGAATGGAAAACTTTCCCACACTCCACAACTTTACAAGTGAACGTTTTATAATGCTGGGCCTCGTGGTCATACAGTTTGAAGGCCTCGTTGAAAATCTTGCCGCAATTGGGGAACATGCATCTAGCTCTAAAAACAGAATGTGTTTTCCTGTGTAGAAAGAGTTCAGTGTTGGACAGGAAACTCGCCTTGCAGGTCAACTGTATACATATGTAAGGCCTCACGCCACAGTGGACCTGCAGGTGATCGTTCAGGTGGGTGACGTTAATAAAGTGCCGGCGGCAGTACTGGCAAACAACCTTTTTGCTCTGCATTTCCAGGAAAGTCTTAGCTTCCTCGTTGTCCCCGTGACCTTTAACATGCGCAACGAGATTTCTGAAAAACTTGAAGCTCCTTCTGCATTTCCCGACCGGGCACACATTGTCATCGCTGTTATCCATGTTCCGCCGGGCCACTTTGGACGGAACACTCCGTCTCAACCCCCCATTTTGACCTAAGGAGGCGCCGTTTGCATGAACTTTGTTTTCCGTCTTGGACTTCAACGCTGCGATAACGGGGGCCGCCGTTTTGGGATCGGCCAATTTCTTGTTCGTCTTCATGGCGGTCAGCCTCTCCTTGCACGACTCTTTAACATGCGACGTCACATGGGGAAGCAACGTGTCTTTTGAGGTAAAGGATTGAGTACATATTGGGCAGCTGTATACTCCACCGCTCAGATGAGTCTGTGCATGGCGTACGATCCTGTGGCCCAGGAACTCCTTGTCACACAGCACACAGTACTGCATGTACGCCTGCCAGTTCCTGAACCTGGCAGATATGAAACCTTTCTCTCTCAGTTTCTTCATTTCTCTGTTCTTCTGTCTCTTGTCGGTTATATCGTTTAGTTCATAAGTGCCACTGCCGATGTGGTCTGGGATATTCCTGAACCCCCCCTGACAGAGGTAGTCTTCCTCTTCCTCGGGGTCCTCGGTATCGTTCAGCAAGTCAATGGACGACACTATTGAAGCTTCCTCGCCCATCAGTGCCAGACAGTGACGCTTCAGTGTCTTCCAGTCCCAGAACTCCGGGTCAAAAGGCCACTGGGTTTTAAAAACCAGCAGGAGCTCGCAGCGTAGAGAGTTGGGAACCGGCATACTCTCCTCCTCTACTTTCTGATCCGGTTCGTTGTAAAGAGTCTCCACAGCATAGTAGGAATCCACCGTGGGCTCCAGGAGGAACTCTGTCAGCTGGCAGGCTCGCTTGACCTCCAGGTCAGTGGGAAGCAAGCAGGAAATAGTTTTACACACCGTGGCCTTGGTGTTCCCATCATTCGATTCCATTCGCAGAGCCCTGATGCACATTTCAATGCACACCGGCAGTCCAACGCTGTCAATCTATGGGAAAAACAAAAGAGGAAGCCGATCACATGGAGCACCTGGGACTACAAATAATAAAGCAAAGCCAGTGTCACGAGGGGTCGTCTTAACAGCAGTGTTGTACGGTCTCTGTCTAAAAGGGAGAACTTGTCTAAGATGAAGAGAAGGTTGTACATGTTGCCTGCCAATAAGTAAACAGTTGTCAATTAACGATACTTTCTCATCTCTTAAGTTACAATGTTGTAAATATATAAATAATGACACGATAAGTAGCAGGCGTCAAAATAGACTCCGTGATCGTGATGTTATTGGCTGATCGGCCCCCCAACAATACTAATCGGAGCGCGCTCACATGTTTATGCATTGAGCAGAGCAAACCCACACATGTAGCCTTTGAGCCCATCCAGAATATTTGCAGTATAATAAACTCAGCCCCTGTAAGCCTGAAAGGTTGCTTTGTGTTCTCCTGTGCAGAGGGCAGCAGCTTCAGTCTGCATCATCAATAAGCTCAGTGTGTTCCAAATACTTCTATCACTGCCAGAATACGATTAAACACACTTCTATTTTCCACGCCGTCAGCGTTTTAGGTTTGTTGCTTATGACTAATGTAATCAAACACAGCAGCATGTAAAAACATCCTGCTGTTATTTTGGCGAGTATTGGCTTGAGACATGATCAAACGGTTGTGATGCAAACGGTTGTGATGCATGAGAATCCATTGAACATGAATTAAAGCCACAGAACCGACCTTTCAAGCTTCCATGCAGTGAGTTTTGATACTGACAAGATTTGCTTTAAACTGAAAAGTATTAAAGAAACTATGCTGAACAATGATTTGTAGAAAGTTGAGAATTAAAGGGTGCTAATAACTTGTTCTTCACAGTTTGATGACAGCTGACCGTTTACTGACCTCTGATTGGATGACCTTAATGAGGAACAGGATGTGGTACACGGTTTTAGAAAGCAACGACATCCGGCGACATCGGTCGAGGAACGCTTGCTCCGACTGCTCCAATCTCTTCAGCAGCTTGCTCCAAAATAGAGTGAGCTCCCTGGATAGAAGAAACGGAATTCATTGGTCATTTATTTGTCTGTGTCGTCTTAATATCTATTTAAATCAATCTATTCACGCTCATACTGACCATCAGCCTTTAAATACTCAAGACAAGACACAGTGACACAAACACGGAAGCGTTAACGACACCGCATACTGCATTGAACTTCGGTCTTTTCCCCACACTCTCCTCTAAAAGGATGACTCTTCTCCTCCTCGTCTTGTGATTTCTTACCAGGCACAGTACGTGTCTCCTTGGAGAAGCTGCCGGGTCAGGAAGGCCGAGCACAAGCTGAGCGCTGCCCTCTCGTCTCCGTCCGACTCCAGGTTGCAGATCATCTCCAACACATCGCGGCAATCCTCCTTGGAAAGCTGCACAGATGGATGACATGTGCACAGTCAGCAGGTTTATCTATCCTTTTGAGGAAAACACCCACAAGCTCCATCATCTAATATTCATAAAGTAATAGGAGGCACCGATGTGTGGTGTCTCTCAAATTGCTTTTAAGTGTAGTCTGCCATCGTGTGGCAGGGAAACGTATTACAGGAAAGTATCAGAAGTTAACAACATCGTAACATAACACATGGCAAAGACTGTTAATCTGGTCTGCCTGATCCAACTAATACAATACAAAGCTTTTTGCCAAGCTCTTTCTTGTACGTTTAAATAAAGAACAAACAAACAAACGTATACAAATGCGAGTCAGTAAACTCAGCTACGCAGCTCCACTCACCTCGTCCATCAGCTGGTCCTGAGCTGAGGTAGCACAGAGGCAGACGAGGTACATCTGCTTGAAAAGTCCCTTCCCCTGGAAGGCACGACACTCGGAGCACACCTTGGCCAGCAGAGCAGCCTTCCCCTGCTGATCCTCCTTCATCAGCTGTCTCACTCTCATCTCACACAGCACCGGGCCCTCCTGCACCAGGAACTCCTCCACTGGAAAACAGCGGGACCATTTTATAAAGTGTGTGAGAATATGTAAACAAGAGTACACCCGTATCTTTAAATAAATGCTTGATACGGTCACATCATCTTCAACACGACCCGTGTTCCTACTATTCACAGAGCGGTACGACCACTCTGAATATTTGATGTCTCAGCACTCATCCTATTGAGAAAACTGCTCATCTCAAAGTAGTGATGACATTTCAAGAACCGTCTCGGGCTTCGTTTTTGAGGAGCTCGCCTCCACAATTGGACTTGGTGAATAAACCTGCAACAGACATGTTTTGTTCTTACAGAACGCTGTCTCGGTGCCACAGCTCCTCGTGAGGATTTATCGATTACTCGTGTGGATGTGAAAAGAAAGGTGAAGGAGATGGCGTCCCTAATTTATAATTTAACTCTGGATATCTGTCACCACTGCACAGTAGTTTGCGTCAGAAACACTTGAAAAATGAAAACTCGCTTTAACTGTATTAAAGTGTTGGAACTGTGAGAACCAGCGCAGGAGCTCACCGTGTTCAGTCTGCAGGTTCTCCTCGGACAGAAGGCCCTGCAGGACTCTGTTGGTCCAAACACCGTCACACCGGCCCAAAGCAGAGAGCTGGGACAGCTGGGTGACTCTGTTCTCCTGCAGCGCACTGTAAGCAAACTGAACACAAGAGGAAGAATACATGACTTCAAAGATAACATGCAGAAGGTATCTAAAGTCCATTTAGTCAAAAGTTTGAATTACAAATGAACAACAACCGCGATTAATGCAGTTTGTGGAGATTTTTCAACTCTTAGTCTGTTTAAGGACAAGAGCAGCGGTTACATAGTGTCAATCCTGTTCTTACATAACCAAAGGAAGTGTCGGGTCATGGTTTTAGTTCTGGCCTTGTATTTATTTTAAATGATAATATATATTTGAAATAAATCCTCAGCTTTACCTGCACACATGACTTGAACTCCTTCCATAAGCCATTAGGAACATCCGTCTTCAGTGAGAGCAGAAGCTCCACAAAACTCCTGCAAGACGATCAACAAAAACACAATATTGATCCGTGTCTGCACTTTAAACATGGAACTGATAGAATCAACAAAGGAAGCTAGAATTCAGCTTTTGAAACAGAGTTGCCTTCAGCATACTGATGATTGATTACAGGGGTTAAACTCCTATATCTCATCTGCAGTTAATCACATCAGGAAGGGTACTCACAGGGAGAGCCTCTCAACCACAAGAGGAACATTTTCACACTGCAGTGAGAGGTATGGAGAGGCCTGGGCGTAGCTCAGCAGAGCAACTACGTACACTTCCACCAGCGCCAAGGGCTCTTCCTCTATCCTCCAGCGGCCCGCATACTCCAGCAGTGTCTGCAGAGAGAGAGAGAGAGAGAGAGAACCACGGTCACTCATCCAGTAAACAGGTCACAGGAATTCTGTTTGCAATGACAACTTTGAACCGGCATGTTGAAAATAGAAACCAAAGGTTGGGTATTGAGCACAAGCAGTTAGACCCATCAGGGCAAAGACATGAGGAACAAAAAGCTCAAAGGAAAATGCAAGAAGACATTCTACATCTGTCATACATCATGGCCTTCAATGTTTAAATCCCAGGGATACTAATTACTATCTGTCCCACATTTCCATCAAAGTCATCATCCTTCAACTGCTTCTTCATTCAGATTAAAGCAGCAACTTAACTTGAGCTTTTCATCATAGCATGCCACATTCCACCGTTCATACATTACTGGTATAATTTAACTTTTAACGCCCACAATGCAGCGCTGCGTCAGCTTTTTGACATCCAGCATTTCACGTCCCTATTTCTTCAGATATTGCCTTTTCTAGTATTAACTGTTTGCCTCGTCAGCAATCATACAGGTGAAAACATCACTACAAGGTTTGAAAAATGATGGCCCATCACACTCACACACACACACACACACACACACACACGAGCCACAGGGAGCAACGCACCAGCTCACATGATCTCATGGGACAGCAGGTGTAAACTAAACAGACGGACATGGTGTATAGTGTGCGGTAGTCAGATGGCTAAACAAGTCGGGACGAGGAAGTTGAGGCTTATTGTGATAGTTTGATCCATCCTCGTGTGGGTTGCACAATGCATACATGCAATATATGATCCGTAGGGATGCACAGACACCAGTATCCCCCTTCACCGGTGCAGAAGAGTGAGCAGCCACTGTGATGTGGACACATGCAGCCACATTGAGCTGACGTTATCCTCGCCGTAGTGAAGCGCGTATGCCAGAAAACAACGTAATCACGGCCGGCATGTGATGCGCGTAGTGGCCAGTGGTTGTGGTGCTTAGTCGTGGCACCTCCGATTGTTTTGTAACTTGGCATGCACGATCACATCACTGTCACAAATAATGAACAGATAAAAGCACTACTTACATCTCGAGGGATTATACAAAGAAACAAAACGTCTTCCAAAAAAAAAAAATCTTCATCCGAGTAAATATTTTGCAGCCAAATCAACTTGTTTACATGATATTCAACCTTTGTTTCTTTATCATGCTTTTAATACTTAACTTGTTTCTTTACAGGGTGTGTTTACAGGCAACACTGTGGTCCAAGAATTTAGTTGACTCCGTGTGTGTGTGTGTGTGTGTGTGACTCATCGTCACTCTCAACCAAACTCATGCGTCCCATGTCAACTGATGATTAATTAAAGTGAAAGGGGTTAGCCTCGGAATTAGCAACAACTACAGCTCCTCCGGCTCTGGTGCACTTAAGGTGAAACAGTTCATTATTTCCATCCCTCCTGCAGAGAGCTACGCTCTGTTTGGACCAGGAAAACACAACATTGCATGTTCAAATCTCTGCAACAAAGATTGTTAGAACCGCAAGTACTCGTATCGGTACTCGGCAAGTACTGTAGAGTAAATACGTGTACTTGGTCTGATGGGAAAACAAACACCGACTTTGATTCCCCGCTTTAAAGCCTCCTCGACATTATGAACAGCAACGCTGACCGTGGTCAGGAAAGCCAATGCAGTTTTGTGAGGCTGGATATTTGCAGGAAGGGAAGTGAGCCAAGAGAAGCTCTGTTTACAGAGAGCACGCTCTCTGCTTCTCACATGTCTGAACTTCAGCCTACACACTCATGATCCTCCACCCACAGCCTCTCACTCTGGGCTCTTTAACACCCGAGAGACCCGACATACGAGAACAAAATCAACTCAAAAGGCCATTTACAAAGCAAGCCATTGCAAAGTACACTGCCGTTCAGAAGGTACTATTTGTACAAATTTAGTTGTGTAATGGATTGTTTTAAAAGGTAAAATAAGATAGAACTTTATTAATCCCGAAGGAAATATTACCAGAGTTTCATTAAGGATTAAAACAGAAGAATGGAATAAAAATTATGAACATATATGAACAATGAGTAACAAGTATTAAGTGTAAGAGAAATAAAAGTGACACCATTGCAAAATAGAACACAATAAGGGGAAGGTAAACAAATAAAGTAAATAATTCAACTTAAGTAGAAAAGTAATATTGAGCGTAATATTGAAGAAGTGGTAGAAAGTTACATTGGACATAGATCAATGAAAATATTGCAGATTAAAAATGAAATGTAATACAGGACGATGTTTAAAATAAGTACTATTGAACATGATATGGTTATTATTGTTTTATACCAAAGATGTTGAAGATGTGTTTGATGCAAATATCTTGATCCCATAAAAACAAAAACACACTAAGAGAATATGTGACAGAAACAAACGACTGTAAACCCAGAAGGAAAAGATTGGGTTAAAGACAGGATGATCGTGGGGAGCAGCCAGGAAAGGTCCTGGAAGTAATCTGTGCACAAAGATCTTTTCCTCTCCGATGCATAGTGACCTAGCAGAGGTATTGGGGGTTTTCCTTAACACCAGAGGAGTTGCTGTAGTTTTGGATTTGGTTGAAAGAAAACATCCTCCGATTAAGAGCCGTGCTTAACCCGCTCTTCTTAACATGCCCCCGTTAACACTGGGGGAAAGAAAAGGCTCCAGTGCTTTGTTGACTAGGATTGTGCTGATACGTACTTCCATAGACCAGTCTGCCTTCAGCCAGATGTTCCATGAAACTGTCAGCTTTGAAACTGGCTGTCAAGTTAGACAACAGACAGCTGCTTTTGTTTGAATATTAACATATTCTAACACCTAATTATCTAAGAGGCTGTTACACACAATCATTTCAGGAAACAGTGATGGTTGAGTATTGTTTCTGGGTCCTCTATCAAACACAAAAACAAGTGGCTCACCTACACTTATAAGTGATGTCCTGAGCCATCCAAGCACATTTGAATGCATTGCTATGTGCTAAAATAACATGAATAAACACTGATCCTTCCCTGTACGACAATCATACAGTACAGCATTTCACTGCAATATACAAGTGTATGAAACAAGTGAGGGACAAGTTATTTGGGCACACCGGTGCAACTGACTCAGCGTTTTGATGATCCACTCTGTAACACCACTGTACAATCGCAGGTGGACTGAGTGAGGTCGTAGTTTGCGTGACTAGGGTTGGGCGGGTGTTTCTGTTCTCGTATCGAGATTACCTTAGTTCTGTTAGTAAGTCAGTTTATATTGCCTTAATATCTGGATACGTTCTCCCAGTTACACTTTCATTGATATAATATCAATAAGTTAAGCTCATCAATTTAAGTGCAACTTCACCCCCAGGTCTGAAACTAAGGCCTCCCACTGCACAATCTTGGAAAAGTGCAACAAAAAAGTGGTCAAGGAGCTGAGAGACGACTTCATGCCCACCTCCCTTTGACTAAAGCCTCGACAAACACGACGGCTACAGCAGCTTGGATAATATCTATATGGCACGGGTCACTGAACTTGATGGATTTACTTCACCTGACCACAAGTGAGACAAGAATTACCCCCGCGGTCCCTCGGCCTCACTACCTGCTGCTCTGAGACTACTTAACCGGGAGTGGAGCAGAGAAGCACAGTTGCGGCGGTAGAAACTCAGATTCAGTGGCTGAAAAACAACTCAATGATTCATCGAGACACTCTTGTCACAGCGTAGGGAAGCGCACTGCTGGTCGTTAACGAGGATTCACCAGATGTAATGTGCTTAAATCCCAGAACACAGAAATGATAGAAAGGGCTTGTGATGTGCTGTGATTGTAATAATATGCAGTGGTGACTAAAAAAGTGAAAACGATGGGCGCGGTGGGTAGATGCGTGCAGGAGTGTCTCGTTGGGGACTGGCCCTGCAAAATTAGGGCTAAATTTAAAACAGCAGATGCCATTTTCAACCACAAAATGCCAAATGTTATACATTTGGTTACAAATTTTAACATTAAAACCTGCATTGGTGTGCTTCATCAAAGTAGAGTCATAACATTTACTTTATATCTTTAAAAAATGAGTTGGTCGGACCTTTGGTAAACTCCTATTTAAGTGTCAAAATATAAAAATGTGTTTTATGTAAACTCTTATATTGTGAGTGATAAACTCTTTGTTTGCCTTCCTGTCTCTGTATGTAAATAATTAAATAGTTTTGGGTTTATTTTGTTTCAAGAGTGCATTTTATTCTCGAGTGAACCTTAAAAAGGAGTTAGAGAATCCCATGCATCAATATTACCACCATCACTCATGCATATAATAATAATGAAACTAGATGCAACAACACATCACATGAATCAACTTATAAGCAAAAATAAATTTTCTGTCCTTGGCTCAGCATTCTTGACATAATTGGGAAACTAACCCGGTTCGGTTATTTCTCACTCAATACGATGAGACTTTGTGAATCTTAATAATTATGTTTAAACGCATGTGTACATTATTTTTGGATTATCTAGCCTATGCATTTTTCCTTTACTATTGTGTCTCACTTCTGGAGACAGAGGAAATCATTTTTCCTCCAACCAAGAAATAGGGATGAGATGCTTTGGTGCAGATCCGCCCTCCACACACTCAACACGCTATTCACATCTCTTTAACAACTGCATTGTACAGATGGCTTACTAATGGGGCATCGTGCAGGACTCGAGGGTTGCCTGGCTGTATATTTAGGATCTATTGCTTTAGGATGCAACTTTGGGTCAAAGAACGCCGTGTCGCTTCTGCAAAGCGTGCGTTTTATTTGGCACGTACGCACAGCTAAATCCATCGCGGGAGAAAAACTCAAATCCGTGCTGTTATCCTGTAAAATCGCAACATATTCGGGACATTTCATGCAAAGAAGTCAACTTTATAATGACATTGTTGTTGACTGCAAAATGCATGGCACTGGCTACTACTAAACCTGTTAAATACAAGACCAATCCGATCTGCTAATGGACAATCAGGGAAATTATACTGACGTGCACGCGCATGTAGCCAAACATACCATGGCTAAGAGCTAATGTTGGCTAGCCGCAGGTAGCACCGTTATGGCTGATTACTGGGAATAATTAATAGCACCAAACCTTGGACACGTGCAGGTATTCGTCTACTGGAACCAGTCGATGACATACAACTATATATATGTAAAGGACTTTTAACATCAATTACATTAAGCTTAACTAACGTTACACCTCCTGCAGACACAGCTGTGAGCTAGCGTGTGCCATTAGCTGGCTGAGCTAGCGATGTCAGCGGACGGATTTGAATCATATTTATTCTGCTTGACCGATTACTCTACAGTTTGACCACTGCACATAGTTCAACTCTGTAACGTCAACAGTTGCATTGTTTAACAACCAAACCTCTCACTGGGTTATCCGGTAGACCAGGACGTAACATTATGTTACCATTAACGTGAATGCTAGCTATGCTATCTCGTTAGCTACCGTTAAATATGAACTCACCCTGCAAAACTCTTGGCAGTACTCGGAGGAGGATTGTGTTGGAGCCTCTCCGCTGTCTTTAACCACCACTTCTTGCAGCTCTCGCAGCCGTTGTCTGAGTTCCCCGATCGTTTCACTGACACCGTTCTCAGGACTACGGTCCTGCTCGGCCTCCTCGTCCGCCATCTTCACACCCAGCTCCTGCGCGTACCACCACAGCGTAGCTACGTTCTGCAGCACGTGACAATGTGTACGTATGACGCAGTGACTGCAGAGGTCATTTCCGGATTAGTTTATAATACTGAAGAATGACGTGACTTGAATGTACATATTCCTTTCCCCTGCATAAATATATATATA